AGAACAACCTCCAGAAGAATTACACTGTTCATTTCCATGCTAATTCTTTTTTATAGAGACACAGAAATGTGAGATGGACTCCCCCATCTTGGCCAAAAACCTTTGGAGGTGGTGCCCAGTCAGGTGTTGTTGCCAGTTGGTTCTGATGGCTGGGTGGGAGCTAGGATTCTTGACCCCATCACATTTCTTGAAGCTCGTCATCCTGATCGTAGCGATTCCAAACACATATATTCAATAAGTTGGTCCCAAGGTGGTTCTATAAGGCCATTTTGTGTCTGCATTCAGCTTGTTGTGGTTAGTAGTATTAAAAGGAATAACTCTTATCTCATGACTAATATTTTGAATCCTAGATTAAAAGGATTAGAAGGATTTAAAATTAAATTCTGATCTTTGGAACAAAAGCAATGAGTCCAGACAGTGCAGTGGCCCAAGGTGGAATGACTTTCTTTCCTTCTCATCTGCAGTTGCCATGTCTGGACGATCTTTTGATAGCTTGCCCCTTCACTGTTCTACAGCCACAAGGTTACAGGATCTTGTCTGGGAGCCTAAGGGAAGTGTGTGTGTGGGGGGGGGGTCCTTTCAGAGACCTCTAAGCAGCTAGGTAGTAATTCAGGTCTAACATTTGTCTATTCCCCAAACTTCTTGGATGATTCTATATTTATTATACATTATGCTCTTTGAGCCCTCTTGAGGGGGGCAATTGGAAACCCTCAAAATGCATTGGCCTATAGTATTTGGAGATATGGGAATCCTTGTACCATTCCTTGGGATGCCTAATAGTGTCTCCTTACGAATTATGAGGATTGTGGGCTACAAGGGACCAGCCACAAGCATGGGCCTTCCAGGAGCATGGTAGTTATAACATGTTGGGCATGGGAGTTGGGGATGCTGGGGAAAGATAACTGTGCAAAGTATACTTCCTCCCTAAACTAGCCCCAGTCACACCCATTAATGTATTGGTGCCCTTCCATTAGCAGCCACTTAAATCGTATCGCAACGGATTGGAAAGCAATCGGAACGGCCCCTCCGTTGACTTGCAATTTCCTTCTGATTATGATGTGAATGCCCCCTCAGCATAAAACGGTTGCAGGTTATTGGCTGAACCACACTGTTCACGTTCACAAAATCATGTGGTTCAGCTAACAGGCTTCTGTGGTCCTATTCACAAATTCCAGTCATTGTGATGGATCCCACACCAAAAATGTAATAAAGTTGAAATAAAAATAAAATTTTTATTTGTTGCAGTTGTTCTATGCTAAGCCATAAGGAGAAAGCAACATCCGAATGGTTGCTTTATACAGATATGCCCCCCTCCGCCATCCAATTCCTGAATGTTTTTGAAGCCCTGTGTGTCCAAGTTGAACTTTTTTCTTTTTTTGTACTGAATTCTTCGATGTAGAATTGTTTCAATATGTCGGTGGCTCGAACACACAAAACCCGAGAGGTGAGCCAAAAGGAACAGCATGTCCCATTGCAGGGGATTGAGAAAGATTTAAAGCACACCATTGTCCGTTATGACGCGCTGGGCCGTAAACTATTTGTGTTTAACATGCCAAGAACCCAGCAAATGTGCTTTTCTGGGAAAACGAAGCCCGGCGTTCTCTTGCAAAGCCCTGTACCATATGTGAGGCAGAGCAGAGGCTGAACATTGCCGTCTATTGATGTAGCAATTATGATATACTAGCTCTTCAAGTACTCGAGAGCGCTCTTTGTCCTGGAGTTATCTATTACAAAGCGCAGATGACTGTGAACTTCAGCTAATTGGTCTCTGCTATCACATTAAAAGAAAACTGCGCCGATACCGAGGTGGTCAGCAGCTCAAAAGCTATTGACTGACCATTCATTTCAATTCCTGTAAGATTATATGTGCATTTAACCCATTGACAGGATAAATGTACATACACTATATTGCCAAAAGTATTGGGACGCCGGCCTTTACACGCACATGAACTTTAATGGCATCCCAGTCTCAGTCCGTAGGGTTCAATATTGAGTTGGCTCACCTGAGGAGAAAAAAAAAGGGAACAGTTTAAAAACTGACAGAAAAGGAAAAAGAGTTTTTAAATACTAAAAAAGGGTGTAAAAAGGAAGGAAGGAAGCAGATGCTGATGCCTTAAGAGTTCCCTTCACTGGAACTAAGGGGCCAAGCCCAACCCCTGCGAAACCACCCCCCCTCCACCAAACTTTACACTTGGCACAAGGCAGACAGGCAAGTACCGTTCTCCTGCAACCGCCAAACCCAGACACGCCCATCGGATTGCCAGACAGAGAAGCGTGATTGGTCACTCCAGAGAACACGTCTCCACTTCTCTAGTGGCGGCGTGCTTTACACCACGGCATCCCACGCTTTGCATTGCACTTGGTGATGTAAGGCTTGGATGCAGCTGCTCGGCCATGGAAACCCATTCCATGAAGCTCTCTACGCACTGTTGTTGTTCCAATCTGAAGGCCACACCAAGTTTGGAGGTCTGTAGCTATTGACTCTGCAGACAGTTGTCGTCTTCTGCGCACTGTGCGCTTCAGCATGCGCTGACCCCGCTCTATCATGTTACGTGGCCTACCACTTCCTGGCTGAGTTGCTGTTGTTCCCAGTTGCTTCCACTTTGTTATAATATCACTAACAGGTGACCGCGGAATATTTAGTAGCCAGGAAATGTCACGGAACACCTGAATCCAATGATTTGGAGGGATGTCCCAATACTTTTGGCAATATAGTGTATAAATAATAATATATACATATATTCATCAGAGGAGTCCCCAAGTCGGGTGTCACCTGGAGCAGGCGCCGGGTGTCAGCCGCCGGGATCGTGTGACATCTTTACGTCCGCACGTGACATCATTACACATGCGCACGACGTAATCACGAACACGTATGACGTCACCTGCATTAGGCCGGGCCTTGATTAGCCTTGTGGGAAATCCGGCCTTGGTCAGCCCCTGTTATGGTGTCACCCAGTGCGGGCCGCACCCTCCACAACCCCCTTGTGACGCCGCTCATATTTATATTGTTTAGCTGTAAGAGCCTCCCTTGTATAGACATCCAATAGCCCTGAGACTACTGCTGGGCGCCGACATCTTGAATGTGATGTCAGGGGCTCCAGCACACTTGGATCTGTCACTTATGTGACACTCTGTTGTATTCCCCTTCTCTACTCCTATGGCTGCTACATAAAATGTTATGTAGGGGGATAAAGGAAGGTGCAAAGGAGGTAGGCCAGCACAGATGTGGAAGAAGTGGAGGGGTCTGTGTGAAGGCATTGATGCTTTCTGTGCTTTTACTTGCAATTTTTTGAGTTGCTGGTTGGTACACAGCTCTGGCACACAGCACAGCCCTGTCTAGCAGAGAAGAAGAGCTGGTTTAGTAACACTTACAGGACTTGCCCCTCCCCAAACCTGTGACTGGACAGTGAAAAGAGAAGCAGATGACTCATGAGTTCATCTTTCTGCAACTCTGCTCTCTCCTCCTATCAGCATGCTCTGTGCAGTCCTGTAAAATGATTGGCTCCTTGCGCAGCTTCCCCCAGATGCAAGGGGCTGGATTCCAAGTGAAATCGGGTATTTACATGGCTTGCATTTAAAGAACACACATAGAAGGTGTATTATTAAATACAGAGCTGCATGAATTTGTGTCTTATAGAACTGCCTGGAGTTCAGCATTTAAAGGTGTACTCACGAAAAATAAAATATGGCGTCCTTTTAAAATAATCTGGAAACATTCCAAACCTTTATAATTCAAAATAAAAAAACAACCCAACTCCCAAACCCCCCATGCCATGTATAGGACATATGTTCCTGTGCTGAGTTCCCGCTGTTCTCAGGAAAGTGACAGCACTCACAGCGGGGGGGAATTTATGAAGCTCGCTCCCCTGTTAATGGGGGGTCTCCTCTACTCTGTGAGCGCCATCAACTGTAAATTAACGTTGAACTTTTCTCCTAATCGCTCATCATTGTGATGGATTGTTCCCGGGACGTATAGAATGCTCAGACTTTCCGCTTTCCCATTATTCAGGAGGAATGAAGATGGAGAGAGAAAAGCTGCTGATTGCAGATGCCTGGGATATAAATCATGTCATTGTGTCATAGAGACTGCAGGAGACCATGATCCCTATATCCTGTGGATGGAGATTGTCAGTTCTGCCAAAGCTGTCCTCTCCCCTCCGATGTCCCTGGAAGCTTCTGCTATTAGTAAGTGACTTTTCTATTGATTATGTTATATATTTATGGAACTGGTGTTGCATAAGAAGCCTGTAATCAGAGAACAATGGAAAAATCTACCTTCACATGTACAAAAAAACGAAGAAAAAGGCACCGAACCAACTTCTAGATCAAAATGTATCATTCCATTTATTACTCAGACTATAAGAAGATACCGTGTTTCCCCGAAAATAAGACACTGTCTTATATTTTGTTTGGCTCAAAATAACACACTAGGTCTTATTTTCGGGGTAGGTCTTATTTTTAAATGTACAACACTACATGTATTCATGTACAAAAATATGGTGATCAGGGCAATCAGGGGTGCCGTACCTTTCTAAGAGCAATTTGCTAACCAATCACTGGTCAGAATAAGCGAAGCGCACTTTTAGTATCGATTCCCCACAGGTGGAGTGCATTTGGTATCACTCTGCTTGTGAGAGGAGCCGGCGCTATAGAGGAGGTATCAGCTTATACGGCTCTGCTCCCTCTGGTGCCGTCTCACTTCCTCTAGCGCTGGCTTCGTTGGCACCGCTGATTCTTCTTTCGCGGCTCTTCAAGTTCCCCCTTATGCCACCACCGCCCTGGAAATGGTCAGAACTAGGTCTTATTTTCGGGGTAGGTCTTATATTTTAGCGATTCCCAAAAATAGTACTAGGTCTTATTGTCGGGGAAACAGGGTATATTATTATCTATGACAATGTATTATTATTATTCATTAGTATATTGCAATCTTTCACAGCCCGGATGAAGGATTTATTTACAGGAGAGAGAGAGAGAGAGAGAGATCCAACACACGGATGCTCCCTTCATCAGGGCTGTGGAAGACTGCAATAAACCGATGAAGAATAATAAAATGTATCATTTTTATAATGCTACAGATAAAAAAAACACATATAAAACATAAACAAGGACTTAGAAATATGCTATTTATCAATAAATATAACTAATAAAAGTGTGCCATAACCTGATTTAAAACCAGGCTTTTGATTTGTTAACAGAGTAAAACACCTCAAATCTAAACTTTGTAAGAGATTGCTATTATTTATATACATTTTTAAATTTATGTAAATAAATATTATATAAATAAATATATTTGTTTTCCTTAGACTATTCCTCCTCGTACCCCCCAATACCCCCCCAATCCTGTCCCCCCTTTTGTGGCTATATTAGGGATAGACACGCATTGGCCCTCCAACCGTGGTGAAGCTACAAAAACCTTTAGTCATTGCAGGACTCAGACTTGACTTCCAGAGGTAGATGCATGGTGGGATTTGCAGCTTCACCACCGCTGGAGGATCAAAGTTTGGCTATCCCTGCTCCAGCCACTTAACATATCTGATGCTAGGTCCACTTTTATTGGTATGGGAGGCTGGGCTTAATATCAGCTTCCCAAAATGTCCTAAAACCTTCCTTTCCTGGTTACAAAATATGCATCTTCTGAAAAACAACAGGCGCCCTTTAGAGAGCCATTTGACCTGCTGTCTAGTGGCATTGTTAGATGGTACGGTGCTCAGACAATTTTATGTTTGTAGCATATCATATGCTTTTTGTCTCATTTTATTATTCTCCCACACAACACAGAGGAACATAAAAGGTATACAGTGTACATGAGTGGGAACAAGGCCGCCAGCAATACATCACTTTGTCATGACTTGTCTGCTCCCCTCGGCGTTGTTGAGATTGACTTGTACTTAAATTGCTTTCCCCGGTGTGTGTGATGTTTACAATCGGAGCATCAAGAGGCATTGATAAATATTGTCATTAGCATTAATTGCCTGATGTCTTCCGATCGTCCGGCCTCTCGGTCAGCCGCTCTCCTCGATCCGATAATGGATTTATTTAATGAGTTATCGCACGGAGGAATTTATCTCTAACGCCGCATCCCCGGAGACCAATAAAACAACGGTCCCTTTAATCTATATAATACATTATAATCACACTTTTGGCGGCTGCACCCCACGCCTACGTAAGGCCATTAAAATCAATAACGGTTGATTCGTTAGGGAAGAACCCCATTCAAAGCATAACCTTCTCTGTAATTTCGTATGGAATATCAATCAAGATCTCAAAATGTAACCAGCTGACCACTATGTGTCAGTTTCTGAAGCTAGGAAGATCTACACTAGACATGTGCGATTCGTTTCGTTCTGAATCAAAATTCGTACAAACACATCCGAATTTCCGAATCTCAATGCATCCGAATGTTCCCGAAATTTCGGATCCCGTCCGAATTTTGTTTAAAAACTAAAATGATCGGACATGTGACTTTTCTGGCCAATCAGATGTGTTTTACAGTATAATGCATCCGAATGGGTCTGAATCCGAATTCTGGGAACCGCAGCTTTAGTAATATATGTATATATGGCTCCCAATGTTGCCTAATTATTAGACATGTGCAAAACAAAAACAAAATTGTTTTCAGACGAAACAAATGAAAAGGAAAAACGTTTTCATTCGTTTCGTCAGAGGAAACAAATGTATATGTTGTTTTGAGTTCGGAGGCAACGAGCCTCTGAATCCGAAACCGCACACTGAAACCACAGAGCGAGCGGTGGCCAAAATCGGCCGCCAGCACAGTCTGCGCATGCGCGCGGCCATTGTGGAGTAGATCTTGGTATACACTAAGATGGCAGCGCCCGCATGTTCGAGCGCCGTCATCTTGGTGTATACCTAGATCTACTCCAAAATGGCGGCGCACATGTGCAGAACGCGTCGGCGGCCAATATGGCCACCACTCTTTCAGCGTGTGACGTCACCCTCAGGTGACATCACACGCTCCGCCTCCAGGATGGCGGCGGGCATGCGCAGAACACGCTGGAGGCCAATATGGGAAGCCACAAGTGACGAGGGACCATGGAGCCGGCTTCTCGGTCAATCAGGAAGCCGGGCAGCGTTGTATGACTCGCTGCCCGGCTTCCTGATACCGGAAGCTCAAGTATCGGGCTAGGCATCAGGTCATTTGGGCGAGTACAAGTACTTGCCCAAATTCTCGGCATCGGCACCGATAACGATAATAGTATCGGTATTGGGGCATCCCTACTTTTTATTATTCAAGCACAATTGATCGTTCTATACAGATTAGCTGAAAATACATTCTAAATGCATCAAAACAAAGGGTCTGCAAAGTCTTCCAGTTTGGTTTTTCTTCCCGACCCCTCAGGCAGCTTGCAGGGAAGGACCCTTGCTGTTTATGAGTAGGCAGTGAACTCGCTGCAGCGGTCTGACAATCCCCCTGATGAGTTAGAGCCAGAGCTGTCCAATCAGTGGTAAGCATGAGCTTATAGGAGACACAGGTTTGACCCAGTAGGAGGGGCATGTCACAGCTCTGCAGAGTCATCACTGCTTCCACACAGGGAGCGAGGACCTTTTATGTAGCTGCTGGCAGGAAGAAAGCTTTTCTTCACAGGCTGTGGTTGCTTTCTAACGAAATGGAGCTGTAAGACATTGATCACCTTTTTGTTTTGGTACATTTAGAATGTATTTAGCTGATTTAAAGAGAAAGTTCACTTGGTGTTTTTGAAATGTCTTTAAACCATTCTTCTCATCCCCAGTAAAACCAGACCCACCGAATGACCTGAATGCCCAGATCACAGAACAGGGAAAATTAAAAGTGCTCTGGTCTCCTCCCAAATCTTCAGCTCGCAGGCTGCAGTACCAAGTGAAACAATATTTCAACACAACTGATAACGACTTACAGGTACGAATTGCGTTTCACGCACCAGCAACGTTTAATTAAAAATGATATTATACTTTATAATTGAGAATGTGGCGATGTCATTAAACTTGGTGACTAATCAGTGGGCTCATTACTGTCACACTGGTGGAGTCGCGATAAAACAGGGGTCAGATAGGGCATTGCATGTGTTTTACAATCTCGTAATTATAAAGAAACTCTGTAAAATGTAAATCTTGCCACAGCAGATACTTTCTAATTAGAAGAGATAATCATTGTATATGTAACCGAGGACCTATGGATACATCTGGAGGAAGAGAAGTCTTTTTATGTAGCTTGGCAAAGTGAAACGTCTTCTTGGGGAATTGACATATCCGTATTAGACGGTTCCAGTCTTACTGAAAAACTGAACAACGTTTTTCTATACAGACCTTCCTCATGAAATAGGAACTAGGCTAATTATTCACTATAGATGTTTGCAAAAGATTCTAAAATATTGCATTTCTGAGACATTAAATGGGAGCACTGTGCAACAGGGACTCATAACCTGGACCTATCTCTGTCCATGAGCACCCTATGGCAATGGTTCTTAACCTCAGTGGGCCCCAACCTTCAACAGTAAAAACAGTTTATACTTGACAAAAGTATGGCAATGCAAAATATGGTGTTTAATGGTCAGTAGGAGGAAAAACACTCTGGCATAAGTAGTCAGTAGGAGGAGAAGATGCCCTGACATTAGTGTCAGTAGGAGGTAAAGTAAAGTAGGCCTTGAAGTGTGCTAGGGGCTCTGGATGGGGCTGGGGTGCTGGAAGGTTAAAGATGGGCTGGATGTTACTGTTCAGAGATGGGGGTTCTGGAGGGGGTTAGGGGACTCTGCAGCAGACTTGGTGATCCTGTGGGAATGTGGGTTCTAAAGGAGGTTAGGTGACTCTGCAGCAGACTTGGTGGCCCTGTGGAAATGTGGATCCTGAAGGTAGTTGGTGACAACTTTGGGGGGAGGGGGGGGGTGGTGTCTCTCAAGGAGGCCGGGTGCTTAGAGAGATTGGAGGGAAATGTGAGGACAGGGGAAAAGTGTGGGAGGTTGGGGGGCAATGTGGTACATTTTTGGAGGCTAAGGGAACTATGGGGGGCTGGAGGCTCTGCTGCAGCAGGCTGTGGGCACAGTGGGAAGTAGGGGGCACACAAGGGGGTTGGGGGTGCTGTGGGTGGCGGACAGTACTGTGGGAGGTTGAGGTTAACTGTGGAAGGTTCGGAGGCACTGTGGGGGCTCTCACATTAACCTGTACTTCATTTTAGGGGATTAAAGGTAAAATTCCCAAGTAATAGCAGACACCAGTCAGTTTAGCTGGGTCTTGTTCACACGGGTGTCAGCTTGTATAGGTGCAGTGTGTACAGCAAGGATCTGGAAAGCATTTTTAAAGCTTTTGGCAAGCTTTGAGCAGCTTGTTGAAGTCTTTCAAGCAACCTCTGGTTCCTATTTTTGATACAGCACTCAATGGGAGTGCTGACTGTCAGTTTAATAAGCTGCAACCAGGTTTCAGTAGACATTTAGCACTACCTGCAGCTTGTTGAAAGTCTGCTAAAGCCAGTCAGCACTCCCATTAAGATCTACAGTATGTTTAACACCCCCCACACTGGACCTGAAATTTACTTAAAAGACTTTAACAAAGCTACTTAAAACTTGCATGCTGTACACACTGTTCTTAGGCAACCTGAAGCCAGTGTGAGCAAGGCCTGAATAGATGAATGCTGATTGGTTGCTTTGGGATACTACTGCACTTTGCATGTATTGGATTAGTTTTATAGTGTTGATTTTTGCTGGAAACTAACCATTTATTTCTATATAGACCAAGCTTGTCACAGAGGAAACCTTCGTCGTCCTTGATGTGAGCGAGTCATGCTCACCACTGGTGTTTGAAATACGTTGCCGTAGAATTTTTGGAGTCTGGAGTGACTGGAGTCATCCCATGGTCTTTAAGTCGCAAGGTTTGTAATGCAATTTGAAATCTGGGGTTCTTATATAAACATGGTTAAATGCACCTAATAGGGAATGACAAAAAGATCCCAACCTAGTAAGGCGAATTTCTCCTACTGAGAAATTGAGATAACTTGTAACCCATTCCTTGACAGATAGAGATGAACAAAATGGTTCCCCCTAAGAAGTTAAGAAGTAGTCAACTCGGATCAGGAAATAAGTGGCCATTTGCATATTTGAATATCCGTAAACATTGCCCAATTGATCCAATCAAATGCATCCAATGCCAGAAGTGGACCTCTGAACCTCTGGCCTCCTCACTTAATGTCCTTCAGAAATAACGTAAGAAAACCAGTGGTGACCCCTATTTAATATAGTGATAGCACAGTAGCCTCATTTCTCTTACTCCTATCAGTCGTTATGACACAATTATCACAATAAGTTAGCAGTACATTTCCTTATTGTGTCATTCAGTGGAGAATGGGAGTAAACCGGAAGAGACTGGATGGAAATGGACTTGTATGCTAATTCTACTCATGCTCTTTGCCTTCTAGTATTTCACATTAAACCACCCCACAGATTAACACAATACTAATAATGGCGCCTTGCACTTTACACCAAATTACAACTTACCATTTAAAGCCCTGATGAAGGGAAATGCCAGCTGAGCGGGATGAGATATACCAGGGAGCGTAGTGGAATTACAGAAATAGCTTGGGGTTTAAGTTTCCTATGGATGAGAATCTTTAACTAAGAACAGCGAGCAGTGAGAGCCTCCTAATACCTACCAGACCCCCGTTCTTGGCTTAACAATGGTCAATTTAATATAATATATAGTATCGATATACCGTAATAAAGAGTACTGAAGAGCTCCAGATGTACCCTGGTCCAAACCTGATCTCCTCTGAACCTGGAGGGGACATGCGGCCATCCGCCCAATCAACTGCAGGCCGGGGCATTCCTTGCCCCACAGCTGCACATAAAAAATGGAGCAGAATCCTTTTGCTGATGTCATTAAACTTGTCAATGTCATTGACCAGCTATAACCCTGTGGTCATAAAAGGTCAATGACAGCATACCACCCCTTTACTTACGTGCAGCATAATTCCTCAGCTGAGGGCGGCAATGGAAAGAGGTTCCTTCTGGGTCCAGAGGAGCTGAGGTTTGAATCCGCAATGTTCTGAACCTGAGCTCATTAAACAGAAGGAGTAGCTCCCAGTGTTGTTCAAATATGGCTACTAGAGTCACAGTGGTCAGTTAAGATGTAAATGTCTTTCCATTCATTAACAATTACATTCTATCTGATTAGAAGGCACTGTAACACAGACTGCTTTTTTTGGTGCTGTAAAAGGTCAGAAAAATTATGTTTTATGATGACAAATACTTTTTGAACAAAGAACTTGGCAGCCGTCCCTTCCACAACTGCATGAGGAAAGTCTGCAGAGGCAAACAAACACAAAATGTTTTATTTTTCTGCATTGTCATATAATAATTACAATATATTTAATTGGAAAAAAAAGAAACATCCTTAGAAGGATCATAGGACTTTTTAAATGCATTTATTATACCCGAAGCAGTGAAAGCATTTATCTATTGTGTTTGTAGTAGGTAATGGAGCGAGAACAAGGGAGGCATCAGGGTTCCCTCTCGATCTGTATGCAAAAACTGCTGTGCCTAGCAGTTTGTGATCTCCCCTGATTACATAAATGCACTGCAGCATAGAGCTTTTAAAGTACATTTAGCAAACTGTAATACAGTAATAATGCAGGGCATTATTTTTTAAAGTCCTTGATACTATATTCTTAAACCATTTATATGTTCAAACCTTTCCTTGTAATGGAACAATATGCAGTCCAAGATAAAACACCCTCACAGACAGGGCCTGGCCCTGAAGTGGTGAAGTGGGGCAAAAATGGTACTTTGTTTTCGCTGCTTTTGAGAACAGAATACACTGAATTTTTTTTTTCCATTTAAGCAGTTTTTGCATATTATTAATTATTATTATTAAATATTATTATTATCATTCAGGATTCATTTAGCACCAACAGTTTGCTCATTACTTTACAATATAAAGAGAAACTGTATAGTTACAATACAATTCAAGACAGGAAGGCTGGGATCAGCAGCAGCACCAAGGTGGGTGTCACCCGCTGCATCCACCCTGCATGGGTTATGACGTCCGTCATGTGACGTCATCACGCATGCGCAGTGATGTGCTTCACTGATAGCGGCCATTTTGGTGATGGAAATTAGAGAATGGGATCAGGTAAGCCACTGGGTGTCCCCCCCCCCCC